TCGCCCGGTAATAATCCAGAATCGGCGTGTCCGAGATTAAGATATCCAGAGTGCCGTTTCTCAATTTTTCCACGCCCTCGGCAACATTCGACAAGGAATATCGAGCCATGTGGGACCATAATTCGGGATTCGCTTTTTGCACATAATATTCGGCCGCGGAAGCTCTCGGTGCACCAACTCTTTGTGACAACAACTGTAATATAATATATTAAAAAATCTAAATCCATACACATGACCGAAAACTAGAACAAAATATTTTTTTTACTATTTAAATCTCAAAATCGTTATATATAGACATATATTAAATATTAATATATTTAATATTGATATTTAATGTGAATTTTATGTGAACAATTATTAAATAATTATTAAATAATTAATAGAAAATAGTTATTATTCTCTCATAAATTCTTTTCCTTTTACTCTTTATATTAATTTTTTATAAACTTTATCATGAATTATAAAGAATCAAGATACTCACGCTTTTATCATGATAATTGCTCACTGCGGAATGAAAAAAGAGACCGGCGATAAGGGCAGCTATATTAGCCGTGTACGAGGCCACAAAGATAACGGAGAAGCCGCCCCAAATATTAATAAGGAACTTGTTAGGCCAAGACTTTGGCGCCTTGAAGGCCACAAGGTGGCCGCACAGAAGGCCCCACATCACCCACAGCGCGGAGGCGATGGAGAAGTTCTTGCTGCGCTGCCTGCCCCAGGGATTCAAGCCGAACGGGCTAAACCATTCGTAGAGAGCGACGGCGATCGCGGTGAGATTCAGTGACGTAAACACGGCGATCCACAGCTCCGTGCTGAACGGGAACAGAAACGCAAACAGCGGTATTTCAGAACGTAGCTTTGGCGCCGTGAGAAAACTCACGCCGCTGAAGTAGTACGGCGTGGTGAAATCCACCACTTTGGCACGATGGGTAGATACACTTAAGGCCGCAAACGCCAGCTGTGCCCGACCGGACACCAGCTCACCCATCACGCCATTCCACGTGCCGTTCCGGTTGTTCTGTTTGCCAAACAATCCGTCCTCCGCTAGATATAGATTGAAACGAAATCCAAGCTCGCGCGCCACCAAAGACAGCAAGTCCATACTCAGGCCATAACAGCACATCACGGTTTTACCCTGCCGGCAGGTGAGACCGCGCAAACAGAAACCCTCTTGTAAATTCGTGATCATGGTGAACGGTGATGCCTGCACGGTCACGATACTATAAATCGGCATCCCGACTTTTTCACCACCCTGTTCGAGATACGCCGGCATGATGCCACCGCCCGGCCAAATTATAGTATCTAAACGGACTTCCCTGCCTCCCTTGATAGTGCCGACCTTAGTCCACCTGTTAAACATTGATGACATTAATTATTCCATCTTCTAGCAATAGATACAAATATCTTAAGAACAAGTTGAACCTTAATTGAGTTTTATTCCCGGGAAACCTGACGGCTTGCAAATTCAGCAATTGGAATTCTGCCTTGTCCTTGGAGATTTGTCCCATGGATTTCCTCAACTTACTCGTCAAAATTGCAGATACATTTTCTCGCGTGTCGCTCTTCATGAATTTAGTATTACGATCCGAATAGCATTCCGGTACAAAGTGTTCTTTGATTTGCGCTTCGCGCATACGACTCAGCCTCGTCTTTGTTTCCAGAAAAGTCTCGTCCAAAGCCTGTGAGGTCTCTCTCAACATCCTAGTCAGTATGGTGTCACCACCCATGATTTTGATACCAGACGGTCTGAGCGCAAGCATTCCGATCGGCATGAAACTCTTGGAATTAAGTTCCCTGTCACTTGGGAGTCTCACGACCTCCTCTTCGTCCTCAAAATTGAAGCTTTTATCCTCTCGCTTGGTCACGATCTTTTCATCTCGCCATCTATACTCTTGCAGCCGATGTATATCGTTAGTCAGACTCGGTAGCGGATTTAGTGAGGGCAGTCGCTTATCGTCTGACGCGAGATTTATCGTTCGCTCCAACAGCGGTAAATTTTCGTTGGTCGCAACAGCGACACGCGAGCTGTGAAGAAGATGCGAACTGATGATGTTGGGCTCGTTCGGTCGCAGTTCCGCCTTAAGATCTAGCCAGAGCCACAAGAATCTGCCCGAGAGCATCTCGAACTTGCCGGCTGCACCGAGAATCTTTCGGGCGTTGTTCAGGTCGCAGGCCATTACTATGACTCCGCCACTGCCACTCTCTTCGGCTACCCGCCTCAATCTTAATCTTAGAGTTCTGTCGTTTGTCGGAAGATGTATAATTGCACGAGGTGTCAACGTTGGTGGATTCGTTTGTAAAAGATGGGTGACGGGTAGGAGGGTAGTATCAATGAGAAGAGTAAACGCATGCCAATTAGCCCGATGCATTAAAGCGGCAGCTGCTGCTCCGACTTCTTTGGGACTCGAACCTATACGATTCTCAAACCGGCCAAGATTTCCCTGTAAACAAAAGGTAATCGCTTTTGTCTTTACATTATAAGACATCGTAATTATATAAGCGATAAAATTTGTGAATGTGAATGTGTACCTGGCGAAGAAAGTCTCTGTGCGTAAACGGTAACCACAGAGCTGGAAGATTCAAGGCGGCAGCAGCCGTAACGAGAAATCTGGCTGCCGATCCTCCCCCTATAATAAGGCTTAATACTGTCTTTCCGCCTTCGATGTCTGTACAAAATTTGTTTAACACTGACAAGGGATATAACAAGGAATCTGTCATGGGTGTCATCCTTGTTTCTATATATGACACATCCATGTCCGCATGAAAAGACTCCAGTCTCGCTTCCTCCCATGCTTTCTGTACGTCTGCCTTGAAAGGAGTCTGAGGCTGAGTTAAACATACCACTATCCGCCACGATGCGTAAGACGATCTGAGCCTGGCCTTCGCCGCTCTCAGAGACTTGGCAGCATCCGCGGTACCGGATACTGACACAGAAGTCCCTAACAAGAGGAGGATTACAACTCCAGTATAGGAGCTAGGCATCTTCCTCAGTTTTCCTTATGCTCCCCTTCCTCTTTTTCTATTTAGCTTTTTTGATGTACATTGCTGAAGCGTGGGCCTAATCTGTAAAATAACATTTTCGTTTAAAATACTATTTTAATATGTGTTATTAATATATATTAATACAGGTAAGTTTTTATTAATAAATATTTATTAGCACTTCACTAATTTTATCATGTGCATGATTCAAATCATTTTTAAATTATACTTCATAAAAAATTTTTCAAACGCAAGATACTTATAATTATTTATTTTGCATTGTTATAAATATATATAAAAAAAAAGTAATCCATTTTTTGTATGTATTACGAAGAAAACGTTAAACAATAATTTGTTAATATCAACAATTAATAAATAAAAGATTTTTAACAGTATCTTTCACTTGCCAAGGGTAGTTACCCTGTTCCACTTTCTTTTTTGCATTTGTCGAAATAACTTTTTCGACATAACAAGCACATAGATTCGCGTTACAACGTGCACACACTTCAAAGGGAAGAGATTCTAAATCACATTCTAAGAACTGTAATCCGTACGCGTTTCGAGAATGCACAAAACAGAGACGACCTTACCTCTTGACGGAAGGGATAGAAGGTCGCACGTCTGGTGGGGGTTTAAGAAGAGCAGAGCAGGGATCGCTTTTTAGCCACCGCCGCATAATAGCCGTCGATCGGGTAAACCGTGTCAATCGTCGCGAGGCACTCGGTCAATTGGTCGGCGGAGGACACGGACGATGAGCCACCCGTCACTTGTCCACCCCCGGACGATCTACCCCGTGCGTAACGGCCATTTTCGCGAGAGCAGCCCCTCCCTTTAAATTTCACCCCTGTGGCATCCTGTGGTCCACACGAACGCGCTCGTGACATACACATGTATTGCGCCTGTCTCTCTTGGTGTACGTGTGTCCTTGCGTGTATCGGCGGCTTTCTGACAATGTCACTAACACTCGTGAATTTTGCTGACGCCCGTTATAAATGTCTCTCACAGTGTCCTATGAATTAAAAAAGAACGAATTTCTTGAGCTCTTCCTAATACGAAATGTCACAGAAGTTGTGACCTTTGATTTTGTAAATAAAATAATTGTAAATTAATGTCTCTTGAGACAACTTGAATCCTTTTTTGAGTAATATAAGTGAAGAAAATAATGATTTCGAGTTATAAAAATATGATGATTATAGATGATGGAAGAACTGAAAAATAAAAATATGTAAATCAGGACTTAAGGGGTACAACTGGAAACTTTAGGATTGTATAAAGAAATATTCGGTTTTTATTTATTTTGTTAACCTGCTCACAATTTTAAATCTGTGGACAAATATAAAATTTTCTCAAACTACATTTTCAAACAATTAAGTAACATAGAATATACTTATTAAACGTATTATTTAAATTCAACTAAACACTGCGATTTGGAACCTTTAATTCAAAACTTAATTACTAAAGGATAAAAAACTGTAACAATGATCTTCAAAATTTTACTTAAGAAAAGTTTTATTTTAAATTAGTCAAAGAATCTCTATTAAAATTGAACCAAAAAATATTGAGACACTGTATATCGAAGAAAAACTGAAATTATTCACATCAAAGTTTGAAAATGAATTGTATCAATTGTAATCTTAAGTTTCTTTTGTATAATATTTCATGCTTCCATTAAATTATTAAATTAATCAAAATAATTTATTAACAAAATTAAATTAAATGTACTAAGAACTTATTTCGTTTAAAAATTTTTTTCTATTAGTATCTTGTTTACCAGTAATGGTATTCCGTGTCCTAATTAGTAGAAAAAATAAAATTGCACAATTGTATAGTAATAATTACGCATATATAATATATGATTTTCTAAATTTCATAACAGAAAGATATCGTATTACATCAATTTAGTAGCATTGCACAATTTTTGTTATTGCATTTTTTTTCTTAATTAAGATAATGATAAATATCGTGACGTACGGAATACCTCTACGGCAATCCTTGAATCTTCAGTGGACAATAGTGCAAAGTTTTTTTCGGCCGGAAAATAGCTTCGTATATTTGGGATCCTCTTTTTAATGTACATTTGCGTTATATACATATACGTTACGCCACACTGCCATAATTTTAACTAGGTTTACAAGGCGTTGAAACAATAAGGAGACGCGTCCGCTTCGCCGAATTCGCTGTCGCCTCTGAAGACTTTACTTTCTCTCTCGTTCTCTTTCTTTCGCACCCTTTCTCTCTACAGCTAAAATAACATAGTCGGAATGCAGTTACATGAATGCAGTCATCTCATGGATAACGAGATTCTTGCCCCATTCTTAGCTCTCCTTCCGCTAGGAATTAAATTAATTACAAAGACAGGTTCTCAATAACGGATAACAATCATTAAAATTAGCTAAATAGATTTTGCTGCGATGCATCGTTCTCGAACGTGCTCCATGCATTGTTCAGCTCCATGAAAATCAACTTTGCGATATTCTCGTTTGCTGTGCCTGCTTGCTACAACACAGAAACAGATCCCGTTAAATTTTTTTCTTTTGAATTAAAAACTACTTTAACAAAATTAATGTTTAATTATTAAAATAATTATTAGAGTAACAGATTTATTGTTCTCTTTGCCAGCTTATTCATGCTTATTGTACTATTTCAAAAAATACTAATTAAAAATATATTTCTATTGTTTAATATTTAATTTAATTAAAAAGAAAATGTAATTACATTAATAATTAAGTATACAAAATATATATTATTGTTATTATTAATCAATTATTTTAATATCATTTATTAGATTAGAAAATTAAAAGATGTTACTATTTTGCAAATAATATAAAAAAAAACATTGATATTTGCACAATAAAAAGGATTGTGTAAATAATGATATTTGACAAGATTCAAATACCTTGTCTGGATGTACAGCCAAGCAAGCTTTTCTATAAGCTTTTTTGACGTCCGCAGCCGTAACCAATTGATGCATTTCACAACGTTGCCACCTCTCAGCCTCCGGCCATAGAACCGTATGTAGGGAGCAGAGCAAAGCCCGCAAATTTCCTTTTTTGCCCTCCGTCCACTCAGCGATTTTTAACCTATCGGGATCCATCGACTTGGCCGCTTCCACTTTTCGCATCTGATTTATTGTCTTCGGGCTATCTTTATCCGCCTTGCGTGAACTGAAGAAATTATATCCCTGGCTACCGAGCAGATCCTCAAACGCATCGCCGCTCTTTTCCTTAGCTTTACTACTGAATACATCCGAGGCGCCGCTGTTTGCACCGTTAGCCTCGTTAGTCGTCGCATTGGTTTTGTGCATCGTGTTCGGGCTGGAATGGATCGGCGTGCTCGCAGGCGCTGGACTTGCTGACTGCGGAGTATTCGAATTTCTCGGCGTACCGTTCCAACTGCCCGCCAGACCAGCGCCCAATGATCCAGTCAGATTCGCGAATGGATCCTTGTTAGCCTGAGCGGCGAAGTTCGGCACGCTGGCATTTCGTGGAAAGTTCTCTTCGGAATTCGGGCTCTTAGCGGTGTTCGCGGTACCTGTCGCGATACCGCTGAGAAGATTGCCTGAAACGTTCCCACCCAGTGGATCAAACATCAGGTCGTTGACTTCCTTAACATTACTTGACGTTGTTTGATTCTGTCCGAATAATAAATCATTCATGTTCAAATTGCTGTTATTCAAATTGCTTGTGTTGCTGCTTCTTGTAGAATTATCATGTCCGAACAGTAAATCAGTAGAGGCGTTATTGTTAATTAAGGGTATCGAATTGGAGGCCTCAGCCTGCGACGCCGACACGCCGAAACCACCCAAGAGATCACTTTCGTTCTGACTAGAACTAGAAAAGATATCTAATCCTGGATTTGCCGCCGCGGTGGCGGGAGTATTTGAGGTATTATTGGTATTATCCGGCATGCCGAGATTCAACAAATCAGCCTCCTGAAAACTGTTGTCTTCGATCTTGATTGGCTCTTCCTCCTTCGGCTGTTCCGGCTGTTGTTGAGGCACCGTTTCGTGTTGTGAAATCTTGTCTGTTTCACTCAACGATATTTTCTGAGCCTGTAATAATGTCAATTATTACCGATTATCATCAACTTTCCAATGTTTTGTACTCTTCAATATAAAAAACTAAATAATTATAATGTATATCTAACAATAACAAAACATTCTACCTCTTCCTGGTGAGAAGCTGTCCTAAAGGTCTCCAAAGTTTCTTCCATTTCCAATGTCGAACCAAACAGTGGATCCGGTACAAGCTTGATACATGTTTCCGCTTCCCATGGCGCCGGCACCCTCGACAGTTTTGAATTTTCCTCGCCTATCATGACATTCAGCACAATGCGGAACTTGCCACCGATCTCGGGAGCATCGTCCAGGTCGCATTTCTCAAACGTCAAGGCGCTCTCAGTGATGGGCACGTAGCCAGTATGGAAATGTAGCGAGGCAATTTTAATACCAATTACACGGCCGAGCTGCTGCCTGGCGTGGTATATCACTAAAGTGACGTCACCGCGTACAGCCGCGTCTCCTAAAATTAGGCAGACCTTGCCTTCCATTATTCCAAACAGCTTCATTTCTTCGTAATTAGCTTTCTTCGTCGTGAAGACTAACGCGCCGTTACTATAAATTTCTATGTATGGTCGACAACCATCTTTCGCTCTGGTGAATAACGGTACCGGCTGTATGATAACAGAACGGAGAACCAGCGGCTTCGTATGCGGAGGCCGGCCGCCGCTGAGCATACTCATGTAATTAATACTGCGTAGTTCGGAGGGTTGCAAATGCGGCGGCTGGCAACGTCTCGTTGTAAACAGAGCGATCGTCTCCTCGACAGTGGTCAAGGCTCTGCAGTGGATCAACAGAGTGCATGCCACTGTGGCACTCGCCCGATACCCATCCTGGAAAGATAAATCAGTAGATAATCGCATTATTGTGTTTAGCAAGCGCTTAATTTAAATTGTGACATACTCACAGTACAGTATAGCACCACCACGTGATTGAAGTCAGCGTTCAGATATTGATAGATATCTTGACAGATCTGATACAGAGCGAATAGCATAGGTGCGTTTGATTCTGGAGTGGCGTAGGCAAACGAACAATCGATGTGTCTACCGGGGAGTCGTGTAACGTTCGGTCGGCCACGGGACAAATTGTAGAGCTGGATCTTGGCAGGCGATGGGTGTCTGCTGTTGAGGAATACTCTCACATCTTCAACGTGATTAGCTCTATAGGCGGATTCAATCCCATCGGCTGGATATGGCATAATAAGTATGCGCGACGTCAGATAACTTGCATCCAGTTCTGTCCTGGCCATACTCTGTTGAACGGTATGCATCACCTTGCTGGAGGTATCTTTCAAATTACGCAGAATACTGCCGGCGCCGCCCCTCAGCGAATTGAATAGGCCGGTCGAGCTCTGAGTCGCCGGGACTTTGGACACCGTCTGTACGGGCGCCGGTCTCGGCGGCGGCATCGTTACCGGCGCGGTGGAACGAGAGACCGACGTTGGCACACTTGACGATGATGATGGTGGTGATGGTGGCGTTGGTCGTGGAGGTGGTGACGGCTTCATCGCGACTTCGATCCGTGGTGGTTCTCTGGGATCAAAATTATTCGACTCTGCGATTGCTGCCAAACGTTCCAAGAGCTGTGCTGTTGTTAACCTTTGTATGGGCGAGATTTGTAGGCATCCCTTTACCAGATCATGCAGACACGCGTATCTTGGATTGGGCGGTAACGGTGGATACTTGCCGTTTACGATTGCTAGTTTGTTACCTGCACGAAAAATACTTTAATAAATGCTATTATTGTAATAAGATATCGGGTTTCTATAACTGAATTAAAATGTATACTTTTGGAATTTAAAAATAATAAAATTTGAAATAAGTATATACTATAAGTATACTAGGATATAAAAGCGAGAAAGTTCTAGTGCAGTCTAGTGTAAGAATCAAAAACAAATCTAAAATTAACATACATATTCAAGTTTATATAGTATCTAAAAATATTTTTTAACGATATAGTTTTTCGAATTATTTCCTATTTCTTTATATATATTCTATTATTTTTTATAAGTTGAGATATTAAGAAAAAAAATTATGTTCTTCATATTCATATCTAAAATCGTGTAAATCAGATTTTATGATATCAGATTATATATTTCTTTGTATCTTCAAAATCAAGATATTTAAATATTATTATATCCTTTCTAATGAGTTATCTTATGCTTTCACATTCATTATCAATTATAATATCTGTACGCTCTAGTTAACTTAGTACTTAGCAAATCAGCGATTATCTCACCTTCAGGAAAAGGATGCCGCAATGTAATCAAAGAATACAATATACATCCTAAAGCCCAACAGTCCACCGGAGGCCCTATAGGTTCATTGTTCCAGGTATCCATCATTTCCGGAGCACGATACATGGGGGTTGTATACTTGGCCATCTGATCTTCCAGAGTGGCGCGTTTTTGAGCATTCCATGATGGATCCGGTAATATTTGTTGAGTCGAGGCGCTACCAAAGTCACAAAGTTTCACAAGGCCGTCTTTCCCGAGCAAAAAGTTCTCCAGCTTGATGTCCCGATGCACGAAGGGTTCTGGTTGCTGGCTATGCATATGATGTACTGCACGTGTCGCTTGATAGGCTATCTTGCACACTTGGGCAAGAGTCAACGTGTTCACAGACACGTTCCTGAGTATATCCGCTATTGTACCGCCAGGACATAGTTCAGTGACAACCAGATACTCATATCCTTTTCGTTCCTCTCGCTCCAATCGTTGGGCATACAAGAACTGAATAATATTTGGGTGATTTGACAATCTCTTCAATGTTTCTATTTCCTGTATAATGGCTCTGTTTGCATCTTCATCAGCGGCGATAAGTCTCTAACAATAAAAAATAAACTTTTTACAACAAAATGTAAGTTGCAAAAAGAACAATGTTGAACTAGTTTAGTTACCTTAAGTGCATATTCTTTTCCTGTAGCGACATCTTCTACCGCAAACACCAATGCCCATCCACCTGTTGATACGATGTTTGCCACAAATTATCTAAATGTTAATAATGATACATAATTCGATTACGAGGACTAAATATCTCTCGCTCATGTTTTTGTCATGTGCACAAATAAATTATTTATTATGGTTAAATAATGCCCTCATATATTCTATATAAAAAGTAATTTAAGCTGCAAATTTCTATAAATGTTCACGCCTGTTTTAAGTATTAAACACAAAACAAACTAAAAAATTCTTTTATGTAAATTTACAAATTCAATATAATTTTATTTAAACTATAAATCGTCTATCTTTTTGGAATAATAACTTCGCAATTAAAATGTTTATTCTACATATCTATTAGTAAAGACAAAGATTTAATTTTTTTTAAATGGAATGATTAATATAAAAAATTAAAGAAAACTGGAATTATACAGCAGCTATTAGCATCTACATTATTTAATTTTCACTTTTTAAAATAATCTTTTAAACTAACTTTACATATATCAAAGTTTGCAAAATTACGTTTTACAAATAAATTATAATATAAATTTTTCAAAAATAAACTTAAACTTTCTGCTAAATCAACTTCCTGCGGAGTGTAATAGTTTCAATATTCAACATCACATAACAAAGAGAATGTATGACTATTCAATTGATGTAAGCTATATTAATACAATCAATAGATTCTACATATAATTAGAAAGGTATATCAAGATAGCTTTGCAATGTATTTTCAAAAAAGCTATAAATCGAAGAACTGAGCAAAAGAAATCATCTGTATTTTGAAAGTGCTCTTAGATAGTCGTTTAAAAAAAATAGCCGATAAGTTGTCAACTAACGATGGGCAGTAATATTCGATAATATTCGAGCAAGAGTAAAAAAAAGAGTAAAAAATCTGTGGAATGTAAATGCGCGCGATAAAGAAGCAGAGACAATGCTCGCTAATGTCAGAATAGATTATCGCGTATATATACTAGCGCTGTCTGGCCGCGTGTCAAAACACGCTTGACACATGACAGAAGGACAGATGTCACACGTGAGATTGACGAGATCCTAACTCCTTTTTCGTCTCCTACGCCTTTCCTACGCAATCATCTACAGTTTTTTTTTTCACAACGCGAGAAAAGTAGGACATGATCGACCTTATCGGCCGTAATCGCGAATAGGAGGTGTCGCCGGAATGTGATTTGACACTTCTGACAGTAAGCCGAGATTCGTACCAGCCGGAGATGATAGACTCACCCTCGGCAATCAGCCGTGTCACTCTCAGTTTCACATTGTTGATGTCCAACATCTGACCGACGTACTCGTTGCCGCCGGTGCCGCCGTTCAGGTACCCGAGCGCGGATCTCAGGTAGTCCGACATCTTTCCCTGGACCTGCCTCGGTGGGCAGTTGGGCACCCTCCCGGATAGCCCACTCTCACAGACGCGTCGTTGCGGACAGCCGATACCGTGCGGCCATATTGTTGGCGCGGCGGTACCTTCGGCGCGCGCAGCCGCAGCGTCGGTGACCAACTTCAGGCGATTGAGTCGCCGATATCGCATTTGCCGATATCAAATACAAGCTGATAACTACATAAAAGCATTATAATTAATTATAATTCTTTTACATAATTTATAATATACATATTTGGTTTTACACTCGACTTAAGAGATCTTACCTTTTGCACGAAAAAAATTTTTGAAGGAAACAATATTATAATAATTGTACCGCTCCGAAGAGAAATGCACGTTATAGGTAACCAATCACGACGCCGATTACAGATTGCGGAATCATTGTTCTCGCGATCTTCGCGATCGCCCGATGTACTTTTAATTCCTTTCCCTCTCGCTCCACTTACTCACGCAGCGTGTAATCACGCTTGCACGCTGATAGTATCCCTAACAGCACAAAGTCGACTCTAAATCAACTCTGAGTCGATTATAGCTTCTAGACGTCTGAAAAATGGACGTCCGTAAGTCGACTTTAGACGACTTGGAGACGTCTCTAAGTCATACAATGTCCCACTTTAAAGACGACTTTAAGTCAACTATTCTAGACTGTGGTCCGATTCATGCCCACAACGCTCGTGAACAGTATTCATCCTTATTTAACTTTCATAGTTAAACAACAAGGACGAAATGATTCCATATTTAAGCTTTGTGAGCGTAAATCGAAGGACGATATTAGAAGGACATCTGTACTTACAGTCGACTCTAAAGATCTGACTTATGCCAATTTCTTCACTTCCAGATAGATAAGTTGCGGATAATCTTATCCAGGAGATATCTCCATTGTATTCTGGGAGATATCTCTTGGATAAAGTTATCTAGAGGTGAAGAAATTGAATTAGCAAAGTCTACTTACAGTCGACATATCGACATTTGCTGTTAGGAATTTATCATGATGCAAGTAGACATCATTGTCTATTTGCGTAATCTTGTATATGACAGAAGAACGATGGCGGATAATAAAGCCGACAGAGGATAAATATTTCGAGTTCTCTGAAGTTAGAATGAAATGAAGTTCCGTGCTTCACTTCTAATGAATTATTAGGTCATTTAAAAAGTATCCGCGGTTTTTTGTTCAATTTTTGAATGAAAAAACCGCGAATACTTTTTAAATGACCCAATATTTAATTATCTTTAAAATTCTTATTATTACAATTTTTATTATTATCTTCTAAATTATTTGAAGTGGAATTTTTCACTCTAAAAATTGAAATCTCTTAAAAATTGAAAATTGCGTCATTCTTTTTTAAGATTGACTGCATTTTCACTCTTTAGAATAAAATTCCATTCTACAAGAATGTAGGAGATTATAATAACAATAATAATATTTAGAGTTTAGAAATGAAAAGAATATAAAACGAGCGTCAAGTTTTGTAACACAAGTTTTGTAATCAGGATAAATGTTATAACGGAAAGAAACGCTCTTTCTTTTAAAGTTTAATCGATAAATATTAATAAAAATCTAATTTATGAATTGTTAATAAATAAATTAATAATTGATATAATGATTAACAAATCCATTCGATCAAGTTTTCCAATTCTTCTCACAGAAAAACTTTTCAAATATCTTTTCGCGAAGCGCAACTTGTACATACTTATACATATACATACTTATATATGTACATACTTGTACATATGTCATGTCGTTTCCTTCTATCTGAAGTTAGGCGCGCACATGACTAGAATGCTTTAGGGTTTCGAGTTACACATGATTTCACATGATTGCACGAATGCGTTTCGAGTTACACATGATGCATCATTTGTCTTTGTTGTTTTAGTTGTTTACCAATTAATAAAAAAGGATACAACGATACATCATGCGCTTCATGCGTAACTTGCAAAACTGATACTCTATTTATCAATGTCTATTGCCCTTATTCATAGTCAGATCTTATATTTAAGGCTTTCTTAAATTTATCTTCAGATACTGTACGAATTATTTCATTGGCTGCTGAGCATCTAAAGATAAATTTAAGGAAGCTTTAAATACAAGATTTGACAATGAATACGGGCATAAGGCTGCTTTTTCGTGCAGATGCTCAACGCTCATTTTCAGAGTCAAAATAGATCACGTGATCAAAATTGATGCTTGGTATTCGTCAACCTGTTTTGACGCTGAAAATGAGTGTCGAGCGTCTGCATGAAAATACAGCCTATCACGTGACTTATTTCGACGCCAAAATTAAACATCAGCATGAAAAGGCACCTTTAGGTTCGTTCGAGTTGCATGCTCCAACCATGTTCCTACCATAGCACCTACTCACTCTAACGAGTGCGTTTGAATGAGTAGGAGCTATGGTCGTAGGAAGTAGAAGCATGTTGGAGCATGCGACGCGAACAAACCTTTTCTATAATTCCATCATGACGTTTGTGACGTTTCATCTTTGTTTACGATTTATATACGAATCTTTCTATTTGCCACTTGCTTTCGTATAATCGCAGTGATTGTTGCTGACAGTCAACTCTGATATACGTGTGTTAATTAATGTTAATTTACAATTTAGAGAAAGAGAGACAGATAAAGATGTTCTATTTTTGAAGGGTATGATTCATTATTAAAATATTTAGGTTCGTTATATTTTTCATTGCAATCGTCGACTTAAAGAATTGCATTTCTAAATGTTGATGTACAATTATAATGCAGAAATGATATAGGATTAATCTTGCGATATATGATATTATCATTCTTCTTCTGCGATATTGTTCAATTCCAAAGAGATATATTTTTCATCAAATAATCTTGTATGTATGTACCTATGAAATCTTATCTTTATTTATGATAACAGAACATATATTGTTATTGCTTTTTTGTTGTGATATATTTTTTATTTACTGTTCTTTTTACTGTTTTCTTTGTCTTTCAGATTTAAGAAAATTATTAGCTTCTAAAGATGTCTGAAATAATAAGGTTCACAAAATTGAAAACGGCTACAGATCCAACATTTTGGGCAAAATTTGCAGAATTGAAAATAGACAAGTTGAAACTAGATGAGAAAGCTAAAATACATGTGTGGGGGAGTTTTGCTCTTCAACCAATGGATGAAGGGAGAACCAATCCATTAATACTTGATTGCACGTCATTTAATGAGTAAGTATTACATAAGCATGAGAATATGATTTGCTTTTTTGAAGAAAAAGATAGATTAAACTATTTTGCAATATAATTTGCATGTATATTAATAATAGCTTAATAATAATGTTTATAGTAACATAATTATTAACACAATATTGTCCAAATATTATACTCGAATATATCTCTAACATTTAATGAAATAGTGTCAATAAATTGGTACTAAAGTATAAATAATAATATATAATTAATATTGTGTATATATAAATCCTATGTTGATATAATAAACAGGATAAGCTCCATTTAGATGAGTTTCAGAAACTTGGAGACAACTTCTCATAATGCCGGAGTAGCATGCTGTGGTTATATGATTAATACAAATACCTATGAAGCATTCAGACAGATAAATCCCGAGAAGTTTATTGACACCATGGGTAAATGCATTATTGATAGTATCAGAGATGGCACAGCTTTGCAAGAGCCTTCACGGCTTTCAATATTCTTAATATTTGCATACTCGGATCTTAAGAAGTATAAGTTTCATTATTGGGCTGCACATCCAACTCCTTTCTCATTTCCGGAAACTTATTCGGTCACACCAACGAAATTTGCATCTGGCGAATTTACATCCAGTCAAATAGATAAATTACGTGCAAGCTTTCTTCAGCTGGATGCAAGATCGAGAAACTTTTTCACAGTTTTTGTGTCTAGAAAGGATGATTTGAATGTTGACAGTTTGTCAAAGGGTATTGAATATATAAAACTAAATATTAGCAGCAAAGAAAATTCAGAACAGGTACAGTTTGATGAAGTTATACTTTTATTTTTTATTTCCTTTTATACAAGGAACTTTTGTTATTATTAATAACTTAAATTTATCTTCATCAGGCAAAAGAGGAGGTATACTTTGCATTTTATGATCCTTGCGCAAGTGCAGAACCTGGATGGCCCTTACGAAATCTTTTATGCCTATTATTATGGCATTGTCCTACATACTGCTTTACACGCGACATCAAAGTCTTGTCAGTAAGGAGCGATAAAATGCAAACTGCAATTATATTTACACTTAGAATCAAAGAAGATAAAGATATAGAAACTATGAGAGAAACTATTTTCGAAGAACACTTAGTAGGATGGGAAGCTAACGTAAATGGAAAAATGGGTCCCAACATCGCGGATTTATCTAACATTATGGATCCTACCAAGTAAATTTAAGTTCTTCAAGTCAACAATTTTTATGTACAGAAATTTAAAAGTGCTTTTTATATTTGTATGTTACATTAGACTATCAGACAGAGCGATCAATTTAAATCTGAAATTGATGAAATGGCGCCTTGTTCCTGATCTAGATTTGGAAAAGATCAGTAGTTTACGATGCCTTCTCTTGGGTGCCGGAACACTTGGATGTTCTGTGGCGAGAGTACTTCTTGGCTGGGGTATCAATAATATGACGCTCATAGATAATTCTACCGTTTCACACAGCAATACTGTGCGCCAAAGTCTGTATACGCATGAAGATGCGGTACAACGTCGGTACAAAGCACATGCCGCAAAAGACGCTTTACTTAAGATACGTCCTAGTATGGTAAGTATATATGTTTATTAAACTTGTTGCATTGTGAGACGATATTTCGAAGTAATTTAATTTAATCAATAAAATTACTTATGGTGTTGCAGAATGTGGAAGGTGTGGTCTTGCATATTCCTATGCCTGGTCATGTAGTCGGCCAGAGTATGATGGAAATGACTAAGGAGGCTGTGAGCAAACTTCAAGAACTCGTAAATAACCACGATGTGGTGTTCTTGCTTCTGGATTCACGTGAAGCCAGATGGTTGCCAACCCTCTTGTGCACCGCGACGAATAAGATAGCTATCAACGCTGCTTTAGGTTTCGATTCGTATACGGTACAACGACATGGTACGCGCGATCTTTCCGATTCTGTTTCGCCTAATTTAACGGTACAAAATCCTGCAGGAAATGATCTTGGATGTTACTTTTGTAATGATGTAACGCAACCCGGGAATGTGAGTACATATTATTTTAACATCATATTAAGTCCTAGAAAAGATTTATAATCTTTTTTTCTTTAATCAACTTATAACTACTTCAAATAAGATATATTTTAATTCTATATAATATATCTATATAATTGTTATTTTTATTCTAGTCACAAACTGATAGAACGCTCGATCAGCAATGTACCGTAAGTCGGCCAGGTTTGTCACAAATCGCTGCAGGTCTAGCAGTTGAATTACTTATGGCAGTGACACAACATTTTCAAGGGTAAGTTAAATTCAAACACAATATACAGATTTTGATTATATTATTTAAATAATGTTTAATTTATTTTTACTTATATATATGTAGATGATTTAATAATTTAATTTTATATATATGTAGATGGTTTAATAATTTAATTTTATATTAGGTGTTGGAATTAATTCGTAGCGTTTTCAAGTGATGGGAAGTACTTTCATTAATGTATTTTTTAATGCTCATGTGAAATAAATAACATTCTTTCATTAAAAAACGCTACGAATTAATTCCAACACCTAATATATATGTAGATGGTTTAATAATTTAATTTTTTATAACTTTTTTTTTTAGAATTTCAGCTAGAGCGCTTATGAATAACGATAGGGACGATTGTCGAGAGAATGTCGACAATCCGCTGATAGGATTATTGGGTGGCGTACCTCACACAATACGGGGCTCGCTTTGGGGTCACGAAATGAAGTTGACTGTCACACATAGATCCCCATTTTGTACAGCTTGCTCGACGCCTTTAATTAAGGAATATCAACATCGCGGTTTTGTTTTCGTGCTCGACGCTTGCAATACGCCAAATTATCTCGAGAAATTATCAGGACTCGAGGAAATACTGAAAAGACCAGATCTGGATGAGGTATATAATGACATGTATAAATAGTCAAGTGCGTCTAAAGTATTACAAAAAAATATTTTTAAAAATTGGAACGTTATTTCTGTGTTATATAGATTAGCTTCAAAATCTTTTTTATTTTGATAAATAAAAATTAATATATTTTTATTGCTTTACGTAATTCATTTGCATTTATATTTGGTACATTACGTATGTATTTTTCAATTTTCAGTTATGTTATACAATGGATAGTTCGAGCGAAGATGAAGAATCATGAAAAAGAAGCCATGATAAATGATACAACCAAAATGATAAAATGCGTACAAAAGAAAATGTATAATATGAATTTCTTACAAAATTAATTGCACGGTTTTTATATAAACAAACTTATATATATAAAACACATTTTATGCAGAATGCCATTTTGAAGAAGAGCACATTTAAACTAATCAAAGTTATAGTGTATTGAATCAAAACTTTTAGCAAAAATTGTTAATACATGAGAGATATATATGTGATGAAAGTCTTTGTGCTTCTTCAAGTTTGCATAATTGTCCATGTTGCATATTTTACTTAAAATCGATGCATTATGTATTATCTATAATGTATGATTTTATCATTATTATAAAAATTTGAACTTATCTAATGTTAAATAAATTCTTTTAACATGAACAATAACATTTTTTTGTTCTTGAAACATTATAACTCCTTATTGTCTATATAATTCTATTTTTTTTTATTTTATAATTACAGAAATATATAAAAGATCTATATTTCAATTAATATAAGACATAATTAAATAAAAAACTACAATTCTTATATTATCATGCTATAATTGTTAGAAAATAATTAATTTTTCACCATATTTAAACATATCTATGTTATTTTGAAAAAATAGGCCTGATTGCACCAACGTTACTTTGACTTTAAGCGAAACTTAAAGCTCTCTCATTTTAAAGCGAAAAAGAGACAGAGAGAATTTTAAGTCTCACTTAAAATCAAAGTAACGTTGGTGCAATCTGGCCAAAGTTACGTAAACTTAAGTAAACTCGAGTTCTCAAAAATCCCGCGAAATTGAACTGTTTTTATTGATCATGTTGCCTTTCGCAGGCGTTAACTAGAGTCTCTTTAGTAAGAGTCAAGTCAGTGAGGGGCATCGATTCCTGATTGGTCAGATTTCGAGTCCCTTTAAACGCCATCATTTGCAGATACTTTCGATAGGTAGTAAATCTGTGAATTGTGAGCAATTGTTTCATGGTGTAGAAAGCGCGAACGCGAAATCAGACTGTCAATCATGGTGGAATTGTGCTGTTTCCGGCCAGTACCCGACACCCGGCAATGGCGTTTTTGTGCTCTTATGTCTTAGCTCTTACTAGAGAACTCTAGCGTTAATAAGCGAGTATTCACATCTGGACGGATCTTAATACGTCAATGCGAATATTTATCGTACGCAAGACGGAACTTTTCATGCAATTTCGCGATAATCGCGACTAGACGTAAAAGTCCGAGATCCTCGGACTTAAAGAAGAAAAAAAATACACATGAGTTGACGTAAATTGACGTGAACGCCCCGCCATCGCTGGAATCCTTTGGATGTCAAGAAAGTGCACAGTTCCACAGTTTTTTAAGGTTCTTGAACTTTGAACTGCGCTATCAGTAGATCGTTCAAGATCTTTCTAAACAGAGTGCCGCTGTCAAAATCTTCGGAGAAACAGACGTGAGATCCGAGAACGATGGCACCGGGACGGAGTAACGTTATCAACAGTAATCAGCTCAGGAATTCTAGCTTTTTGTCCAGGTAAAACATCGGTGTCTGGTATCGATGCGTATCGAAGTAATCTTGCAAACAATCCTCAAAAGTAATCTTGCAAAAATCCTCAAAGTCATGATGATGTCACAAGACTTAGCTGATCATTTTGCGATCGAATTCTACATCAGTTATCCTTACATACAATAACATTTTGTTTTGATATTTTATTTTTGTTTATTCGAGCAATAAAAAATAAAAAAAAATAGAAAGTTGTGTGTATATCTGGAATAAATAGAATAAATATTTGATCATTTTTAATAGATTTTTAATTTATTTTTTAATTTATCTTTATTTATAAGGTTGTTATTAGGCTTGTTTTTTTAGTTGAACTTTTTGCATAGTTCAGCTTTCCTCTTTTTCTTTTCACATTAGAGAGAAAAGATGAATTGTGCAAGAATCTGAGTTTAGCTAAAAAGAACAGGCCTTTTGACACTTTAATGCACAGCTCTCTCTCTCTCTCTCTCTCTCTCTCTCTCTCTCTTCATTTAATAATAATTCTTTTATATTTTTTATGTTTGAAATATGTACTTAGATTACAATTTTCTACTTCACATAGAAAATGGTTAGATTGATGCCTCAATGACATTTGAAACAAATAATGCAAATTTTGACTCTGTCCAGCATGCCGGGACAGTCATCCTTTCAAACTGGAGCTGGAGCCGTTCCACCTCCATTGCCACCTCGCCAGTCAGCTCAAAGTTATTTAGGATATAACGATTATAGACCATATGGCTCAAATTATGGCTATGGCAATTATGGTAGTTATGGATATGGAGGTTACAGAGGCTATGGTGGATCTTTTGGTAGTTACATTCCCTATTCTGGTAACAGCTACGGACAAATTGGAGGACACAGTGGTGATGTGGAGAACAGGTATATTGGAAAAAGTCATCTGTAAATATTTAATTGAGAGTTAACTATTGAGATATAAAATAATGAAAGGATAAAAATGTAGAACTTTCTCAATTGATTTGCATATTATATTGCGTTTAAAAAAATATAATAATTACAAATATCAAATTATTAACAAACTCATACTCTTAAAAATAAAAATAAACAATACATTCAAGGCTAATGGGGTGCCAGTGATTAAATTAAAATTCCAAAGATTAATTTACATAATGTAATTATTATATAGTAATTACAGTTTTAAATTTTTATTTGAAAAAGTATAGTCTTCAATTTAGTCCAAGCTTTTTGAACTAATGTTCATTTCTACCAATATAAATTAACTTTAATCTCTTTTTAATTTTATCAATTTTAATTAACTTTTTATCTTTTTCTTATTTTAAAAGGCCGATATTCATATTCGTTCTTATTTCAAAATCATCTTAAGTAATATTTTAAAATGCTAATATGCCGTTCTTATGATTATTTTGAGATTGTACTTAGAACGGTCTTAAATATAAGATGTCTCTAAATACCAGCTTGAGAATGAGAAAAAGATAAAGAGTAAATTAAACCGAGATTAAAATTAAATTGCATGGATAGAAACAATTGATAGAATGTTAAAGAGTTTGCTTTTCATATTGCAGGTTTCAACAATACGCAGAGGAGAGCACAAGATCGACTTTTCGTATAGTGGAGACCGTATTACATACATTTTCGTCTATCACAATGTTACTGGAATCAACATATTTCGCATTGACAAATTCTTTCCGTGCGATTTTAAGCGTAGCAGATAATATCGGTAGATTGCGGTCAACAATTGGCCAGTTATTAAGCACATTTGCTTTAATCCGTGTAATGAAATGGATCTACAGAAGGATTTTATTTACACTTGGTAGGTTCGGTTTTTATATAATCAAAACTTTTATATCTACTTACATACTATCGTTTAATAATTATTCTATTCCTAGGTCTTCAAACGCAAAATGCTGTCGTCGAAGACTTGTGGCAGCAATCAGTGTCACAATTAACAAACGGAGAACAAATACCGATAACGACGGCGACGAACGAAAGGATTTCTCCTTGGATGAATATTTTACTCCTCGGCGTGTTTGTTGCTATTCCATATCTAATTCACAAGATAACGAGTAATATAAGGCAAAATCAAATAAAAGGTAATTGTTTTTGCATTTTTAAAGACATTTTAAATCTAAATAAACACGTGATAAATTTTTACAAATAATCTACATTTTTCGTCGCTAAACTTTTATGCTTAGAAAAACGTCGAATAATTTTTATAAACATTTTACAAAAAAATATAAAATGCGATTTCGTATATAAATTAACTTTTTCCTTACTATAATTCTTATTTTTAAGATATGTTTTGATATTTTATATATTGATTAAATTTACAGTTAACGATCCGAAAGAATGGGTGAAATGCGAGGATCCAGTATGTGTGGCAACAGCAATGTACGATTTCATGGCAGTTTCTAATGAGGAATTGAGCCTGAGAACTGGTCAAAAAATATGGTTGGCGCCGCGCTCCCTACAATCTAAAAGCATACCAGGTTGGTGGATAGCCACTGATAATAGAAATGTCGGTTTGGTACCTGCTAATTATGTAACTATAGTCGGACAATTGAAGAGAAAACCAGAATCGGAAAGCAATGGAAATGTCATTGCATCTACGGTAATTCCAACTTCCATGCAAAATGCGACTGCTTCTGATGAACAGATGAATACGGTAGAACCTAGCATTGGCCAACAAAATACTGATTTCTCTGAGAATAATATTAAAGACGATCTATTTTAGTCGAAATTAATTGAAAGATTACGATCTAAATCATTCAAATAGTCGTAAAATGATATTAGGCCTATTCTTTTTGGCTGAACTTTTGCACCAGTTTGTCTTTCTTCCTCTCCATTTCTTCTGGAAAGAAAAGGAAGAAAGATAAACTGGTGCAAAAGTTCAGCCAAAAAAAAACAGACCTATGATCTACCTTAAATATATGGCCTACTATATCTTCATAGGACATGACTGATATAAAGTAATATTACAAAACGCCATATTTATTAGGTATCAAACAAAGCATAGTGAATCTTTTTCAATATGTAATTAAATTAGGATAATCGACATTTTTACTTGACACTTAATGATTTATTTCAATTGAGGAAAAGCTCACAAATTACCATAAAATACGATATTGTTAATTTGATTTTTCATAGCAATATATTATCTTTTTATATATTAAGTTACCCGAATAAAGAGGAGTTCGTAACATTCGTATTTGTATATATTAAAAATATATTTGTACATATTAAATAAATTTGAGGCTTTAATTCGATATTTGATTAAAAAAAGAAACAAAAGTGCGAATTGTTTCATATACGTGCGTCAACATTTTTTTTAAATGAATTTCTGCAAATACGATATTTCGATCTCACATTTGCATTTAGTTACAATGACAAGCATATTATTACGCTAGATTATCGTAGCAAAAAGTCATATATTTAAAATCTTCAGTTAATGATATAAAATTCTACATGAATGTTTCGGCCAACTTCTTCAAATTTTCAGTATGTTAATAAGTTTTAAATATAAAAACTGCTTTTCTATTTAAATATAAAAAAGGCAATTAACATAATCATATTTATGAAATTATTATGTTAATAATATATATTTAAACATCTCAAAGACACACGTTAGTAAGAGTTGATCCGAAATTTTATAATTTTTTGTTCACAATTAATTAATTGATTAATTGTAATTGCTTGCTCATAAAACAAGAGGAATTGATAAATTACATGTCACAAGCTCTCTTTAAATATTTACAATATAGTATCACGATCTTATATGTAAAAGGAAGCACAGGGCAATAAAATTGCGTACTCTGAAATCAGGTAGGCATAAAAATTAGCTGTAATATTATGTCAATAGATTATTTCAAAATATGAAATTGTTCGAAAGTGTAAAATCTCCATGACATATTCGACATCGAAAATCAAGTTAGAATTTATATATAAATTCAAAATATATAATCCTATATCTAAACGTATATATAATTTTTAATCTATATAGACTTCAATATGTGATAAAAAAATTAAACTGTTTTAATTAATAAAGCAGTCTGCCTTTTTTGTTGCCGAATTAAAAAATCCGATGGAAATTCGCTGAAGTATAGACACAATTGTTCAGAAAAAACTAGGATATTATTTTTAATGCAATTAAAGTTTTGTACATTTTGTAATATTTGGATTGTATAACTACTTTTTATATTAGCCTCATGTAATATTTTATAATGGAGGTAATTTAAAAAATTGTGTATATATATATATATATATGTGTGTGTATATATATATGTATATATATATATAGAGGCACATTTTTTTTGCAAATGAAAATTTAAGATATTGAATTTGTAAGATTTAACAATCCTAATTCTTCAACGTTGAGAATGTTTCTATTTATGCCGTTTTAAATAAAATTTATAAAATTCGATTGTATGCCAAATGATATATGTTGAAAGATACAGGTTGTAAAAAATATTTATATTTTATGTTTGTGAAGAGTCTAATGAGAATGGATTCTTATCCGTACTTCATTGGGAAAGAAACATTACTACATAAAAGAATTTAATGAAATAAAATGTTTTACCATTAAACTGCCTGTAAATAGAACCAAAAATTGTATCAAATAAAATCTAATTAGAAACAATTCCATAAAATTGAAATAGGCATGCATCGATTTGAACATCTATATATAACAATAAATAAGAGACAAAATAAAGAATATAATTACGGACTATTAAATGCTCATCGTTAAAGAATTACGATTGTCCGAAAGTTTTTAAATTAACACGCGCATATATGCACATTTATAGAGAACAGTTTTCTTGTGAAATATTTATTTTCCAAATTCCAAGAAATTTAATTGAACTTGGAATATATAAGGCATATGGAGAATAATATATAGATGCTATAATATTTTATGAACAGCACCTATATATTATCATATTCTACAAGATATATGATTTTTGTCAAAATTTTCATAAAATATAATTATATGCCTTTTTGGTAAACTCAAGAGATTAGAAAGATTTAAAGGCCAAATTTTTAAAATAAATAACCTAGATTAAAAAATGTCATTCGAAAACTCTTCAGCAAAGAGTGATACAATACAATACAAAAATTGTACCACTATTTTGGCATATTCATAATCACATTATTAGTTTTGAAGAAATTTGTTTATATATTGTTCTCCAATTACACAATTATTTTAAATTAATAAAACATTAATTTCCGCTTACAAATTAAAATTTAAGAATAAATTTTTATACACACTGATTTTGTTTAAACTTTAGCGCATATAATAACTAAATTTGCTAATTCACGAATTTTATAACTTATTTGATGGTTTAAATTGTTCTGAAAGTTAGTTAATATAATTTTTTAATACAACTCCAAATAGATAATTGTTAAATATTAGATAAAAATTTAAAAATAATATGTTACAACACTTAAAAATATATATGTTGAAAAATATATATGTTACACTTAACAATATTAAATTATCTAAAGATTTTGAGTAAAACAAAAATTAAGTTTTATCACTTACAGAGCAATTTAAACTTTCTCAGCGAAACACCGATAATAGATCTCTTAAATGCTGAAATGTCCTCCATTCATTTTGCTAAATGAATTTGTCAATCCTGATAACAGTAATAAGACACATTTATTGTTCCAAATCACATATATGAACGGTGGTTTTGCAATCCTTTAAAATCCTTCAACTCAAACATACATACGATATCATATTGTTTTTAGATCATCACAAATAGAAAATGGAAGTCTACAACTTCCTGCCACATGAAAAAGTTCGTAATTGAGGATTTGAAAATATATATGTATATTAATATATATTATGTATATATCAGAAGAGTACACAATTTTCACATTCATTATCCGTGATGTTAGTGGCTCTAGATCCACTAATCGATATGGTGCTTTCGCCAATATGCATATATATATATATATATATATAACGCACTCCCGCTCCAATAAAGTTCATTCATTTGCTAGAAAAAGCTAACTAATCCATCGTGGATTGTTTTAAAAGGAATCTCGGCGCCCACAAGCAAGTTTCCACTAACGTATGACTAACAGTAGGAGAGAGATTCTTACATAATTTTTTAAAACTTATATATTCGTAATTTGCACTATATAAAAATCAAGGTTAACAACAAGGTTACTTGTAATGCCGTTACTTTGTGATAATAATAATTTGATAATGATATTGTGAATTTTTTACGATAACATCAGAGCTAGAAAAATAAATCGGTATTTGTAATGGATTGAGTCATTTGTTATAGAAAAAAATAACTCTTTTTTTCATTAATTTGTAACGCATTACTTTTTTTACTCGCATTTCTTGTAACGAGTAACGTTACTCGTTACTTTATTAGTTTTTTTTTATAACACGTAATGGTGACAAATTACTTTTCAAAGTGACTTTGTTAATTTTAGCACAACCTTAGCATTTAATTAGTTAGCATTATCGTCATAAAAAATTACATTATCAAATTGTTTACTATAGAAAGTAATAGCAAAGTAACGTTTGCCAACCCTGATAAAAATCATATGTATTAGCCCCTGCTCCTCTTGATTTTCGATCTTGAATTTTTCTAAATTCAAAAAAATGTAATTCGAATGAAAAATGTAATTAATGTATTAATAGAATATTTAAGATTGTTTAATAGTAACAGAATAAAAAAATAAAACCTAACATATTTTTAACGTTTGTTTTGTTTTTATTTATTTTCAACAAGTAGAATCGGCATATCTAAATACCTCGAATATCCTATTCAGAGGGTTAAAAATATAACACAAAATTAAGAATATGATATTTCTAATAACTTGATAATGTTCATCATTGTTTCCCTACTGTTGTTTTCTTGTTTGCGGCAGCATCACGCAATCGATAGAAGAATTATCGTAGAGATTATCGTTATCTGTCATATTAACGCGATTTCACGTGAACACATCAAGTTGCCTTTATACGCAGTGTCCCTGAGTCGAGCTTACGTGTGGGCAACACGATATTCACAACGCACTTAAGAGTTACCATTCAGCGTCCCCATTTGCCTTTTGGAACACATAATCTTTTCCAGATAGATTCATTATACCGTCCTTCAAATAAAATTTCCACTTATTCCGACTCCTTGTAATCTGAAAATAAAACCTTATCATATGTGACTCCGAGTTGAAACATCGTAATATAGAGTATTACATAAACTTTATCGTAAATTTAAACATAAATCGCTATCTCATACCTTATCATACTGGCAGACGACTACATTATCGGTGTCGAAGAGATCAGCAGGATCGTCGTCCGTAACATCATCTTCGGAATTAAGGGGTTCCTAATACAAATAATTCTCTTGTGAGATAATCACTCAACTTATGTGAAATTTATTTATAAATATTAACCTCTTCACGAGCCGCAGCCTCATCGTTTTCTTCCTCCTCTTTCTCATCTATATCTTCATCATCATCATCGTTATCCTCTTCTTCCTCTTCATCGTCATCGTCAGTAGAATCACCGACTCCTCCGTCTAACTGATTTATATTATTTTGCTGCTGGAAAAATGTATAACGTACGATATGTTATCTATATAATATACATACACATGTGTAAGCACTTATCTATTATCTTATCTTTTCCATTATGTTCTCTCAGTCTGCATAGACTAAATATTTCATTCTACCTGATTTTGAGGTGGCCTTTGTGTAACGACACTGTTTGTACTTTGTGTAACCACTTGAAGAGGCTGATTCACTTGTAATGGAGTTAATGCTGCTTGCCCTTGCAGCGTAGAATTTACATGCTGTTGCAACAGAGTCGAAGCTAAATTTGCTGGAAGACCCATAGCGGCGGAAATTACCGGACCTGTTAAAATTGTATGCAGTTGATTTGCTGAAAAGAAAAACAAATAATCTTTTTATTTATATAGATAAATAGTTGACATGTGTACATATATGTGTGTTTACAAAAGATTTTTTCACAAAATAAACACACACACTCGCTATTCTTTTTTAACTGAACTTTGTACTTTATTTTTTCTCTTTTTTTCTTCAACGTAGAGAGAAAAGGAAGAGAGACGAGCTGTGCAGAAAGTTAAGCTAAAAAGAATAAGCCTTAAAATAAATTATAATAACAATATCTGGAGACACAATAGTGTCTCGGCGCTAAGACAAGGAACGCTGCCATACTTCTTTATAAAT